GTCCCCTGAACCTGCTTTATTTCTCATCACCTGACATATACTAGTTATTTGGTTTTTGCTTCTCTCCCCCTACTAGAATGTCAGCTCCCTGGGGAGAAGACTGTTGTGTGCTCAGCTACATCCCCAGCACATACAAGAGTATGTAGCATGAGGTAGATATCCAAATATCTGACAAATGAAAGAATGAGTGGGTAAATTAATGCATCGAAATGAGACTCTCTGTGGCCTAAGAAGAAGGATTTCAAGACCCTTTTCTTACTTCTCCCCAAATCACCATGCTCCACCTCCCTTCCAGGTCTTTGCATGGGCTGTTCCCTCCCCCTGCAACAAAACCATCTTACTCTCTCCCACCCCTAATCCTTGCCCTGATTACCCATACTTTCCTAAGACTTTCAGGTCTCAGCCTAAATACCGCTTCCTCCAGGATTTCTTCTTTGACTCCCCAGCCTGGATGGGTTAGGAGGTTTCTCTGGGCCCTCATAGCTGCTTACTTTGGGGTAGTTTTCCCTGATCAGGCTGTCAGTTCTGTTGGAGCGCATATCACACCGCTTTCAGACCCAATAATCACCCCCAAACGTGACTGCTGAATTCTTCTCCCTCCTCCCATAGCAAGCAACAAGCTTCCCCTGAAAATTCTCACTGCGCACCAGACCTCCTTGGACCAGGAGGGGAGGCACGTGATGGACGCCCTTGGGGACCAACAAGGGCAGTTCCTGAAGCCTTGGGGAAAACAAGTGCGTGATCAAGACGCCCTCAGGGACCAAGAAATGACCGGAGGAGCCTGGGCTCAGACAGGAAGTGACCAAGCAGGGCACATCCTGGCGGTTTCGTCCACGTGCACGCTAAGACGCAAGAAACTTCACCTTTCTGAGCTCCGGTTTCCTCACCTGTAAAATGGAAGGGTTGCTGACGAGAAAGTCCCTACTAAGTGCCGGGGCTTAGGTGTTTCGTATATGACAGCCAATCACTGAAATGTTGCTGTGGGTATGACTCCTAACCTCCCGGATCCTGTCCGGCCTTTCCCGGGAAGCTTTGGGCTGGAAGCCGGGAGGAGGAGGGAGCGAAAACAGAGGCCACACATCCCTGCAAAGCCGTCCCTCCTGCCCTGGCTTGCTTGCTGCAAACCCGGGGTCCCAGGGAGGGGAAGGCGGGCGGGATCTGAGCGGCAGTAGCAGCTGCCCTGGGCGTGCGGCCAACGTCCCCTCCCTCCACCACCCGCATTCCTGTGGGAGGAGGCCGAGCGCTCCTCAGTCTGGCTGGAGGCTCGCTGGCGCCCTCTCGCGGCCAAGTGCGAAAGGCTGAACTTGACCATTAACTGGTGTAGGGGACCTGGGTGGATCCCACAGGTGGTCTGCGACCCCCTACTCCTCCTCCCTCTCAAACACAGGTTCACTTAACTTGCTGTGTGATCTCAGGCAAGTCCCTTAACCTCTCTGTGTCTCAGTTTCCTAGCTGCACAGTTTCGGGCAGTACACTTGACCTTCTGGGGCCTAGGTTTTTCCATTGGCAAAGTGGGTCAGTGGGTCATTAGAACCCTGAGAGGGTGAAAAGAGACAGTCCAGGTGACGGCAGCTACAGTAAACACCCACTCCCCAGGGGAAGGTGTTTCTGTCCTGTTCACTTCTGTGTCCCCAGCACCTACAACAAAGCCAGACATGCAGCTGGTGCGCAAACTTATTTTATATATTAGTTATTGAACAAATGCTTATTCTTCATTTAGGGGAGCTGAGGCTGGGGTGGGGAGGAGGGGACAGATGTATGAGATGTGAGCTCCTGCCACTCATTCACCCAGCGCCCGTTCTCGCCTCCATCCATCTGTTCATCGGATGATAAAGCTGTATCACCTTGTTTTCAAAGTGTGTTTGAAACCTCCTCCGTTTTTCTCTTCCTGGGCCCACCCCCAAGACAAAACTGAAACTCAAAGAAGCTGCAGGCTTGAGCAGGTTTCAAAAGCCCCAGATGTGCTTACCTGACCAGGATTCCCACTGGGGAGACAGAGACACTGGCATGGCGAGAGGGAGCCCAGACTGGACAGAAGGTGGGAGGGACTGAGACTAGAACCCCTGCCATCCCACACTTTTGGACAATGCCTTGTTCTGGACACCTACCTAGAAGCCCCTGGGACGGAGAGGGGGATGTGGACACCTGGTGTGGGGACAAAGATGTGAAGGGGGGAGCCCACCCCCAGCTAAGGGAGGGCTGAACAGCACCAGCAGAGCACCCCACAGAGCAGGGGGACAGAGCTGAAACATCAAAGAGGACACCAATGTTCTAGAACCTTCCAAATTAGGTCTCATCTGCTTCCCTGATCCAGCTCTTAATTTGATTCTGTTGATTCTTTGCTTCACAAGAGATTGTTGGACTCAAGAGCATCACCCGGAGCCTCACGGCTCCATGTCTGACCCAGGGCAAGTTGCCTTCACTCAGCAGGCCTCAGTTTCCTTATCCATACAATAGATGGAAATTCTTACTTCAGCATAAATGTGGGACATTTATGGTTCTTCTGTCAATGCACATAGAGCATGTAGAACAGCATCTGGCAAACAGTAGGTGCTCAGTAAATGCCTGAGGAATGAATGACTAGATCCCACCTTCCCCTTTTGTTTCTAACACACTTGGTTTTCCAGCTCTCTACGAAGGTAGAGTCTGGAAAGAGGGCACAGGTTGATCCTAATTAACAAGAGGCTGTGAGGTTTAAGGAGGAAATGCACCTTAAGCCCTTAGCAAGTCCTCCTTAAATGTCCACTCCACAGGGGCAGGGATTTCGTCTATTGTGGTCACTGCTGTGTTCCCAGCATGCTAAGGAGGGCTGGGCTCATAGCCAATACTTAATGAATCTTTGTGGGATAAATGTATATTATCATTGTTTCGGGGAGATCTGGGTCTTTCCAATAAGCAAGACTCTCCAAGCTAGCAGTATTTGCTTCACTGAAAAAAAAAAAAAGAAGAAGAAGAAGAACCAGATAAACTTGTCTGCAACCCGTCTGCTTCTAAGAGGCAGACGCCACAAAGTTGGTCCAACATCTTTAAAGGGCATATTAAACAGGCAGTGAAAATTATTTCGGGACAGAGAAAGCCTTCTTCCAGGAATGCCTCAAGCGTGATGTGTTTTTGTCCCTGGTTTCATATGTATAATTTGCCTTCTGGAAAAGGAGCCCAGAGAGCTTGGCCTCCAAGGGCCGACTGGAATACTTCTTAGTGCAGCTGTCCCCAGCCTCCCGTGGAGGATGGGCTGAGAAGGGAGGAGCAGCCCCCTCTTCCCCCATTGGATTTATGGGGATTCCCTCCCCACGTCTGTTTCGGTATTAACTCAGCCAGGGCAGGCCAAGGCAAACAGAGCAGACAAGAGAACAGGTGTCTGTGGCCTGTGGTTGCACATCAGCCCTCTACCGCCGTGGATGTGCCCTGGCTCGTGGGGTTGATTCTACTCCTCTTGGAGATACCTGTTGCCCATGCTGAGCCACTGTGAGTCTGGGAAACGGAGGGCACTCCACCGCTGCCTGCATGATTCCCTGTGTGTGAGCCTGCCTCTCTGCTGCTGCTTCCCCAACTTGAGTTCCCCTCCCCCGCCATGCTCCTGTGTTTGTCTACTGGCAGGTACATCCTGGTGACCCCCCGAGCCCTGCGGGTTGGCAGCCCTGAGACCATCCATGTACAGGCTCACTCAGACTCCCAGCAGTCCCTCAAAGGGACCCTCGAAGTGAACCTTACCACACGGGACTTCCTGATGAAGAAGGCAGTGATGGCTAAGAGCCACCTCATTCTCTCAGAAGAAAACGACTTTATGAAACAGGCCTCCATGACGGTAGGTGACAGGCCAGGATGGGTGGCCACAGAGGGAGGCTCTGGGTCAGCAGCAAGGATGGAGAGGGGCAGACTCTAGAGGGACTTCCCACGAGGGACACTGGAGAAGAGATGCAGGGTTTGAATATACTTACTCCTCCTCTTTTGTCCCGTCCTTTTAGAAATCCAAAGTCCTCTGAGTCTGGCCTCCAACAAGGGCAGTGACTAGCCCAGATGATGTCTCTGTGAGAATTAATAAAAGGCGCCCTCTGCTGGTGGCTTGGGAAGCTGACCGTGGACTGGATTGCATTCCCACTTTGGCTGGATGTCCTTGTGCAGGAGCAACCTGCAAGGCAACCTTGCTCCCAACCACAGAGCCAGAGGGCCCCCACTCAATTGTTTCTCCCAAGATCTGGCTCAGGGCTTTGTTCCCAGGGATGGAGACCTCAGCAGCGCCTGAGGAGTGTGGGATTCTCTCCCCAGATTCCCGAGAGCCTGATATACCCCCCACAACCAGGGCAGCAGTATGTCATCATCCGGGCAACCTGGGCACCCATCTCAACCACCTCATTCATGGAGAAGATAGTGCCGGTGGCTCCCCATGCTGGCTACATCTTCATCCAGACAGACAAGCCTATCTACACCCCTGAGCAATTGGGTACAGCCCCCAGGCACTTGGCCTAGGGCAGATGCTGACAGGCCCCCGGTGCCTGTCATATTCCACCTCCCAAGGTCACCCTCTGTCCAAAGACCCCTATATCCTAATACCCAAGATCCTAACAACTACCTCCCTCTTCAGATTCTATCCAGAACTCAGAGTCTTCCCTCTCCCTCCAGTTCAAGACCAGGTGTTTGTTGTGGACCACAAGATGGATCCTGTGACCAGGATATTCACTCTGGACATCAAGGTGGCCTCTCTTGATGGGAGGGTGGATCCCAGACACTGAGGTTATATCATGTGCTGAAGGCCTGGGGCATGAAACACCCACCCCCTGTCCCCACAGAACCCGGAGGGGATCACTGTGATCAGCCAGAATCTGCTAGCCGAGGATGGCTTCTTCACAAGATCCTTTGAACTCCCACAGATTGTCAGGTGCCCTGCTGGGAGCCCTGTGGATGGAGGGATGGAGGCTCTCCTTCTCAGTTTCCATCTCTCCGAATTCTCTGTGTCTCAGTTTTGGGACCTGGAGCATCGAAGCCAGTTACCAAAGTGCAGCCAAGCAGAAGTTCAAGGCAGGCTTTGATGTCAGGGATTATGGTGAGCAGGGTGTGATGGGCAGGGCAAGGTGGGACATGCAAGGAACAGGGTTGGAAGTGGAAAAGAGGTCTCGTGGTGCACCTACTGTGTGCTAGATCCTAAGCTGGGTGCTGGTGAACAGGAATATGTGTTCCAATCCTAGGGGGTTGCAAGAGTCACTGAGGAAGGACTGAACAGTGAGGGGATGGGGGGACAGCAAAATACTGAGGGTGCCCACTGCCTTTACTCCACCCAGTGCTCCCATCATTTGAGGTCCAGCTGAAGCCAAACAAGACTTTCTTCTACCTCAACGATGAGGCTCTGGGTGTGGACATCGAGGCTTGGTGAGTCCCCTTGTCCCCAGCCTGGCCAGAGGAGCAGGAATGCCAAGAAACTGAATGGGTAAAGAAGCAGGCCACTTCTGTGGCACTTAAGGTATGGTAGAGGTCCTCTTTGCCACCCATGAGATATCCTTGGCCACCTACATTGTTTTGTGAGGTTTCTGCCATGTGTAGATAGTACAGACCATCCCTTCAGGTCTCTGGGGTTGTATAGGACACCTCACCCACCTAATGAAGTCATGCCATGTCCCACGCCTCGGACCATCTCTGAAGGTCCACAAGGTAGCACAGGCACATTTGCCATCTTACGAAATTGTCCAGACCGTCTCCACAGCACTATGATGTTGTACAGACCATTTGTCCACCTAAGGTTGTAAAGGCCATATCTGCCACTTCTCAACACTATGCAGACCATTCCTATGCATGCCGCCTAGGCTGCCTGATGAGGTTTTATGGGCTACCTCCACCATCTTGTGAGGTTGCACAGGCTCTATCTGCAACCCAACAGGAAGCTTTATGGGACGCATTTATCACTTCCCAGGGTTGTGTAGGTCAGCAATGAAACCATCTAAGTTTCCAGGGGTCACTCTGCCCCTCCCAGAGATTTACCACCATCCCTGCAGCCTCATGAGGTCATACAGGACATCTCTGCAACCACACGAAGTTGTGTGGGTGCTTCAGAGCCAGTGGAATGACCCTCCACCCACCCCCAGGTATGTTTTCAAAGAGCCAGTGGATGGACATGCTCTGGCCATCTTCGGGGTGAAGTTGCATTCCCACCAGATGCCCATCCAGAGTTCCCTGCAGAGAGTGGAGGTGACTGAGTCTTGACCTCTCCCCGCACCAACTTCCCCCTCCATCAACCCTCCTCTACTCCCCAAGAAACCATCTCCTCTTCTCTCTCTCACCCTGAGAGCAGATCTCTGAAGGTCTGGGCCACGTCTCCCTCCAGAAGGACACACTGATGTCCACATTCCAAGGCCCAGAAGAGGACTTCATTGGGGCCTCAATCTTTGTCAACGTCACCGTGTTCTCTTCAGGTGCCACCCTCACCCAAGCTTTTGGCTGAGGTCAGGACAGTGTTCTTACCCAACCTAGACATTCCACCCATGTGACCACGGGCCCACCTCCCAGCCCATTTCCTCATCAGAGAAATGCGAAAATGCCAGAAAGGCTGGAAGGAGCTGAGATTGTGTTACTGTCTGTCCTTGTCTTCACCAAGACAGGCTTCCCATACCAGCAGCCCTGCCACTCCCCCAAGAAACTGGATCTCCTCCATAGACCTCACAGTCCCCTGTCTCTCCAGGGGGTGAGATGGTCCAGGCTGAGACCTCTGGGGTGAAGATCATCCGGAGCCCATACAGCATCAAGTTCATCAGGACACCCCAGTATTTCAAGCCTGGGATGCCCTTCCACGTTAAGGTAAGAGTCTGACTTCATTCCACCCAGGGTCTTGGGGCTCCCTTCCCCTAATAGACCCCTCTCAGGAGACAAAAACCCACACTGGACTCACCTGTCCCCCACAACTTATCTGTTAGAGAAATGAATCCATCATGCCTCCCAGACCAGTCCCAAGTCTCTCTCAAATCTCAACCCAAGTCCCCCCAAAGCACTGTGATGACTCCATAATTTCTCTGTGGGGGCTTAGTGGTCACAGTCAAGCTAGAAGGTGGTGCTCAGGGGGTTATCTTGAGGCTACTTTTGCACAGCAAACATGCTGTTTTTATATGCATTCATTTTGGGTGACTTTGAGATGTCTGATGGACATTAAGAAAACTAGAAACATCCTTTGGTGCCAGTCCTACTAAAGATTTCCCCAAGCCCTCCACATCTCTCCACTCCAATTCCCTCCACCTCCACCCACCAGCACACCAACACCCAGGGCCATCACATATGATTGCACACTGCAAAACTTGAGGGGGTGCCATTCATAAAGACTCTAACATGAATGGTGTCCCCAGTGTTGTTCAGTGGGCAACCTGTACAGCTATACAAGGCAGTCCTGTCCAGATCAGATTCCCAGTACCCACTTCTCATGCCAGGCCACCACCAGGCCTATCATCTCACACCTGATTCTACCTCAGGTCTTCGTCTCAAATCCTGATGGGTCCCCAGCCTCTAGAGTCCTTGTCCGATGCCAAGACAAACGAGACTGCACCTCAGCCAATGGAGTGGCCATTTTGACCATCAACACAAATGCAAAAAATCGGGAGAAGCTCCCTATCCTGGTACCAACCTAATGGGGCAGGGATGGTGGAGCTGTGTGAGCTAGAAGAGCTGGAAGTTTACTTGCCCATCACTCTCCCCAGGTAGAAACTGATGAGCCTCTCCGGCCAGAAGAGCAGGCTTCAGCCAATATGACAGCTTGGCCTTACTCGACTCAGGGTGGGTCAGGGAACATCTTGCACATTGAGGTGAAGACAGTCGCAGAGGTTGGCAGCAGCATCTACCTGAGCCTTGTCACAGGACATCAGAATTCTGAAACCAAGAAACAGATCACTCGCTTCACCATCCTGTGAGTGGCTGGGACTAAAACCTAAGCCAAAGAGTTATTTCCCTGGAACATCCCTGGCTAGCTGGTTTGGAGAAACTGAACAGTGGTGTGAAGGTGGGAACCATTTGGGGTGGCCTCAGACTAAGGGGCTGAAGCAAAGGAACTGTGGGTCTCCCTTGTGAGCTGAGATGGCCTCAAGAAAAGGTTGACCTTACCCTTCTCATTCTTGTCCTCCCTTGTCTCCAAGGTCCTGAGTAAGGGCCGGATTGTGCATGCCAAACATCAGTCAAAAAGTGACCACACAATAACCACTTCATAAAGCTTGCATGGGCAGAAAATCTGTCCAAGTTGAAGGGCTCCAAGTCTGGGGGCAGGGGAGAAGAGGAATGTGCCCTTAAAAGCTCACCCTGGGGCATAGAGACTATGCAGGCAAATGTGTGGAGTTGGGATTGGCCTGGTGAAGTTCCTGGATGCTCCATCAGAGCTATAAGGGGCATAAACTTGAAAGGAGACTTGGGTAAGTCCCTTGGTAGCATATGAGCCCCTTTTCCTGACATCTCTGTTTTTCCTGGCTCAGCTGAAGGTTGGTTTGAAGAAAGAAAGAACCTTCCAGACTTTGAAGCCCAACAGCCAAGTGGAAGTGAAGGTGACAGGTGATGAAGAGGCCACAGTGGGGTTGGTGGCCGTGGACAAGGCTGTCTATGTCTTGAACAGCAAACACAAGCTCACACAGAAGAAGGTGAGAATATGTGGGCTTTGGGGCAGGAGGTTGCCTGGATATAATAATAATAATAATAACTGGGGCCTCGGCTTCTTCAGCTGTAAAATGGGCAACATTGATGGTTGCAAGGATTCAAGAAGCTAACACACAGCTAGAGATTGGAAGGTGCTAGGAGCTCAATAAATGGGAGGTGGTGTGAGAATTATTATTTGAGCCAGCTATTTCAGTGCACCATTTCTCCTTCCCTGAAAAGGTCATACAAGCTCCAAAGCCAGGTTCCTTTCTTAACCCCCAGGTCTGGGATGTGGTGGAAGAACATGACATTGGCTGTACAGCGGGCAGTGGGAACGATGGACTTGCTGTGTTCAAGGATGCTGGATTGGACCTGAAGATGAGCACGGGGATGCACACCCCAGCAAGCTCAGGTACAGGAAGGGACGTGCTGGGGGTAGGGTGGGTGGGCAGTGTTGTCTAGTGGTTAAGAACATGAGGTTTGGTGTCAGACAGGCTAAAATCTAGGACCCTCCTACTTACCATGAGTCAGTTACATTTCCTCTCTGAGGCTCCATTTCTCTCTCCATAAAATGGGGATAATAATAGAAGTGACTCACTACTTCTTAGTTAAGATATAGGTTTGGCCATGGGTGTCAGAGATACAAACAGTAGCTTAAACAAGGGAGAAGTTTATTTCTCACTCAGTAACAGTTCTGATGTCATTCTGGGCCTCAAACTCCTTCTAGCTTGTTGTTCTGCTATATTCCAAGACGGCATCTCATCAGGACCTCATGCCAGGCAAGAGTATGAAGGGAAGTGGGAAGGGGAGACACTTTCTCAAATCTCATTTGCCAGAACTCGGTCAGGTAGCCCTACCTAGTTGCAAGGGAGGCTGGGAAATGTAGTCTTCATTCCGAGTGATATGCAAAAGAGGGAGGTTTAGTTGCCCCGGATGAAGGGGGAAAGTGACACGAGGAGTGTCTTCTTTCAGCTATAAATAATGATACCAATAATAGTTTCTCTTTACTACAAGCTGGACACTGTACTAAGTACTTTTATATGCATGGTCTCATTGATAGAACTATGATTGTACCAATTTACATGGCTGGAGAAATTAATGCCCAGAGAGTTTAAGTGACTTCCTGAAGATTGCACAGATTTTTTTTTTTTTTGATGTAGTGTTCCATGATTCATTGTTTGTGCATAATGAAGATTGCACAGATTTTTAAGTGGTGAATCATGTGAATATGAGGAGGCTACGGGATTAAATGCAATGATGCTTAGAAAGCACTGGGCATTCTGTAAGCACCTAATAAATATCAAGGATGTTGATAATGATCTTGACGGTGGCCCTCTCATTCTCTCTGACCCTCAGACTGGCAGGGTCCTCAGAGCCCACCTGCCAGCCGTCACCGCCGCTCCTTGAAATGGCTGGAGACCAAGAGGAATGCAGGTCGGAGCTAAAGCTGGACATGTCCCTCCTGGCTCCCTAAACTACTGTATTCATCAGAGCTTAGAAGAGAAAACTGAAACCACTCTAGGTACTTCAAGCAGAGAGGGAGGGATTGGGTGATGGGAGTCTGGTGCTTTCAAAATCATTAGATGGTCTGTAGGAGTGGACATCAAAAGGCTGCTTGCTGGGACTCAAGATCACCTCACTGCAGTTTTGCAATGTGTGAAATCTCGGGAAACTTCTGCCAATATCTCTTGCGATGCTGGTGGGTAGATAACAAAGTGCAGAAACAGTGCCTATTACAAAAACACACAGAGTTCACCTGTGACTGGGGTTCACCTGTCAGCTACCACTGCTACAGGAAAAATGGCTTCCACTTCTTCCACCCTCCAAATCTTACACAAGAGTGTCTCTGTGGCAGAATCTTATCCCATCTAGAACCCTAGCAGCAAGAGAGTCTGGGAAATGCAGCTTCTAGATGTCTAGGCTTTGTGATACAAGAGTGAACGTAGACAAAAGGAGAGATGGATGCTGGGTACCAGTGGATAATAGCAAACCTACCATCCCCAAGGCCAGGGTGTGGACCAGAATAAGATGTGAGCCTGGAGTTCAGGGAAGATGGGAGGCAGCACTGAGTGGTGGTGGAAGCATGGGTTCTACGAATCTTAGATTTTTCAGTCTCTTTGAGCAGTACTAATGACTTTGTGGATCTAAATAAAGAGAAAGTAAGTGAATCCTAATAGAAATTGAGACAAAACCTTAACTCTAATTTTGGTATTAAAGAAAATTATGCTAACCCCCTGGGCAAAGTTTATAATATAAGCCGTTGTTTTGTTTATGGTAATGATAAGTTGTATCATTTAACTATAATTATGTCAGTGGTAAACAATAAGATTTTTAAATTGCTATATATTTTAAGTTATTTATTTATTTATTTTAAAGAGAGAGAGAGAGAGTGTGTGAGCAGGGGGAGGAGCAGAGGGAGAGGGAGAGGAAGAAACTCTCAAGCAGACTCCATGCTGAGTGCGGGGAGCCCGACGCAGGGCTCGATCTCACGACCCTGAGATCATGACCTGAGCTGAAACCAGGAGTCAGACGCTTAACCAACTCAGCCCCCCAGGTGCCCCTGAATTGCTACATTTTTATCTTTAAGTGTATGCCTTCAGTTTGCTAACTTAGAAGCATCCAACTTGACATTATGCTTTACAACAAGTTTTATGTTTTGATTTTTTAAAAACACATGATGAAAATCAGAAGTTGAAATGATGGGGCGCCTGGGTGGCTCCATCAGTTAAGCATCTGCCTTCGGCTCAGGTCATGATCACAGGGTCCTGGGATCGAGTCCCACATCAGGCTCCCTGCTCGGCGGGGGGCCTGCTTCTCCCTCTGACCCTCTCCCCTGCTTGTGTTCCTGCTCTCGCTGTCTCTCTCTCTGTCAAATAAGTAAAATCTTAAAAAAAAAAAAAAAGAATACACCTGAGAGGTATGCCTCCGAGATTACACCCAGGAGTAGCCTCCCCTAAACTGCACAGACACAGTGATACCCCTAATTTATAGCCAAGAAACAACCGTCAAGGAAACTCCCAGGTAGTGGCCCCCAGAGTACCCCTTTCCTGGGTTCCACCTTCCACAATCCCTCTGAGCAGAAATTCCCAGTCACACCCTTTGATTTCCCAGGTTACTCCCAGATGACATTGGACACTGGCTCCCACAGTCACACCTGGGCCCTGCGGCCACCTCCTGATACACCTAGACAAGTCCGCTCCTACAGTTAGACCTAGATATGATGCACCCCCAAGTCACACCCACATCTTACCCCCAGATTATGCCTGATAACTGACTCCCCTTCATAGCCACACCCAAATGCCAAATCTCCCTGAAAGTTCTCCTCCACCCATTTCCCCAGGTTACACCCACATGCTGACCCACCGGAGTGCACACGGCACCTACCACATCAGCAACGGACACCTGGGAAGCACCTGGTAAGGACGGGGATGTTGGCAGTCCTGCCACAACCACCCTGAATGAAGCCCAAGGACCAGCCTGGGACTTAATGACCCTAGGAGCACCTGTGCAGCAGGGGCTTGGGGCAGGCAGCTTCTGGGCCAGAAGTATTGCTACTTCGGTTTTACCTGAGGGTTACCTGGGAGTTTAGGGTTTGGGGGTAACTTTGGGGGTGATAGTGTCTGGGGGGTTACATAGGGGTTATTGTTGAGAGCACCTGAATAGAGAGCTTCTGTCTGAATGTCGGAGAGAGGGGTTAGTGTCCACGCTGCCAGATCTGGAGAGCAGCAAATGAAGGGTCAGTCTGGAACAGCAGGTGTAGACTCCCCCTAATGTAGAAGCCCCTGTCCTCGAATCCCCTTGGCTGCCATTCCCAGTCATCACGCACCCCATCTCCCCCCCCCGACAGGCTCACGAGCTACGTGTTCCGGGTCTTTGCCCTGGCCTACTCTATCATGACAACCAGCACGTTTGATCTGCATTCTCTCTGTGCCACTGCCAACTGGATCATCGCCAAGAGGCAGGCAGAGGATGGGCACTTCTTGGAGAATGGCCCTGTGATCATGGCATTGATGCAGGTGCCCACTACCCTCCCCGCTCCTGGGCTGTTCAAATCCAGGGCTCTGTGCACTGGTGGGGTGAATCTCGGGCCCCTGACCTGTTTGCAGGTAAAATGAGAACAGGCAAAAGCCAGGGCCCAGCACCCAGCATCACATCCCTCTGCTCTGGACCTCCCTGGACTCTGTTACAATGTCAGAGAGGCTGGGCACATCTGGGACCCCGTGATGTGCCCACTTCACTTTGAGTGTCTCCAGTCCTGGCTCTCCTTCCTCTGGGCTGGGAAAGGGGGTAGTCCATCCTGAGGCCTGAGAGGGTAGGAGAGATGCCAGGCCCTGAAACCTGCAGGGCCTTGGTGGCTTCAATGAGGACTTGAAATAGTCTGTTCAAGGTTTGCTTTCCCTGCACTGTGAGTCCTTCCAGTGGAGGGAAGCACGTCTGATTCATCATAGTTGGCAAATATTTGCTGAATAAAAGTCTGGGTGAATGCATGAACCCAGAAAAGACAGATTGCAACCCCAGATAAAGGGAGCAGTTAGGGAGTTGGGAAGCCTGTGTGAGCAGGAGCCAGATGCTGTACGGAGAGGTGGTACAGAGAGGGGTTACAAACAGGTTTCACAGGCTCACAGAAAGGAGTTTCTTTCTACCAACAAACAGTTACTAGGTATCTACAATGTGCCAGGCACTGCTTTAAGCACTGAGGACCCTGGGCAAACAAAATAGACAAAAATAAAAATCTCTTCTCTCATGGGTGGACACTCATGGAGGAAGGACAGGCGATGAGCACGAGAGAGACCTAAGTGATGTGGCATGCATGGCAGAAGTGACGTGGGGAAGGATGCAGGGAAGGGGGAATCAAGGTGATGGGGTGTTATTTTGGAGGCTTTGTGAAGAGATGACATTTGTACAGACCTGAGGAGGTGAGGGAGCAAGTCATGTGGATAATCAGGGAAAGAGTGTTCCAAGCAGAGGAAACAACATGTGCAAAGGCCCTGAGACTGGAAGTGCCCAGGATGTTTGAGGAACAGTGAGGAGGCTGGAACAGAGTGAGCAGCCCTGGAGGAGAGGGGGAGGAGGAGAGCTGAGGGAGGGAGTGGGACAGATGGTGCAGGGCCTTTGGCGCTGCAGGGAGGACTTGAGCTTTTCCTCTGAGTGAGATGGGAGCCATGGAGGGTTTTGAACCCAGGAGGGACACAGCTTGATTCGAGAGTTCACAAGCTTCATTGGCCACCATGGGAAGAAGAGATGGTGGGGCGGGAATTAATTCCTTGGGGCTCTTGTAAAAAGTACCACAAACTGGATGGCTCAAAACAACAGAAATGTATTTATTTTATCACAGTTCTGGAAGCTAGTAGTCCCAGATCAAGGTGTCAGCAGGGGCCATGCTCCTTCTGAAGGCCCTAGGGGGGAATCCTTTCTTGTCTCTTCTAGCTCGATGGCCTCTGGGCAGTCCTTGGCATTCCTTGACTTCTAGCTGCTCCACTCCAACCTCTGTCCCCATCCACATTTGCCCTCCTTCCTTCTGTGGGTCTTCTTATGGTCTTCTTTTAGGACACTAGTCACTGGATAGGGTCCACTCTAATCAGTATGACCTCCTATTAATTTAACTAATTACATCTGCAAAGACCTTATTTCCAAGTAAGATCAATTCTGAGGTTCTGAGTGGACATGAATTTTTGGGGGGGGGGCGGGACACTATTCAACCCAGTACAGAGGCTGAAGGTGGAATTAGAAGACTAAAGAGGAACTTAAACCCTAAATCAGTCATTTACCAGCAATGAGGAGACCACTTCTCTGACCACGACTTTCCTCATCAGGAAAATGGAGCTGCTGAAAGAATGCTTTGAGATAGTGTAGAGTATAACACATCACCCTCCATGGCTGTTGGCTTAGGTTGGTAATGCTGATCCCACACAGGCAAATCTTGAGGTGATTCCTTCTCCTATCTCTCCCCCCATCCTGCTTTCAGCAACCTCCAGCCCACAGCTGAGCACGTGGGGCACACAGGAGAGGTTAGAAAAAGTCTCTCCATGACACTAGGGGGATCACGGGTGTGATCCTGCATCCACAGGGTGGCTACCGAGGCTCTGAAGCAAACATAGCCCTCACAGCTCTTGTCCTGATTGCCCTGGATGAGGGGAGGTACTTGTGCAGCCGGGAGATACCGGTAAGTCTCCAAGAGGAGGGCAGGCTCTGCAGAGCCCTCTAGATCCTCTGCCCACAGGAAGTTCCCCCATCGTCATGTCCCTCCCCATGCATCCCTTTCTTCTAACTCCTAGACCCCTTTCCTCTAATTGCCCCCCTCTGGTTTGCTCTCTCTGACTTTCTAGAATTTGCCTGCCAGCATGGAGTGAGCCCGTAGCTTTCTGGAGGAACGCCTTCTCAAAATTAATACAACCTTTGCCATAGCCATAGTCTCCTATGCTCTGGCCCTCACCAATAACCCCCGAGCCAATGACCGCCTGGACAGCTTTGCCAGCCATGGTGAGTGTGGGCCACTTCTTTGTGTTAACTCTGTGTTTACCACAGTCATGGGGGGCACGGGGAGGGGGATTGTATGATTTCAAATTCAGCAATGTGTGATTCATCACCTTAGCGTTTATTGAGCATCTATGGTGTGCCAACTCTTGAGCTCAGACTCTGAAAAACCAAGGTCAACAACACTGATGTGGTCCTTGCTCTCAAAGGCCCCACCATCCCTGGGGGAAGCAGGCAAAAAACAAACAGATCAACTACAAGTTGAGACAAGCACTGAGATGATAACATAGAAGACGGGTGGGAGAGATGATGTGGGAAGAGGAGTATGGATTGGGGAACCGGGAAGGCCTGTGTGAAAAGGGAATGCCTCAGCTGGAATAAAAGATAAGAAGACCCACCCGTGTGAAAGGCCAAGGACATTCCAAGCTAAGAGAATGGCATGTGCAAATGCCCTGAATTGGGAAAGTGCTTGACATAGTGGTCAAAGATGGAAAAAAAGTCATAAAATGTGATTAACCGAGGGGGCCTGACTCCCTTGACCTGCCCAATGAGCCGTATCCCATCCTCCTCCAAGTCAAGAGGAATGGAGTTAGGAAAACTGGTGGGACTTGGAGGAGCTTCTCTGAACCTTAGTTTCCCCATCTCTAAATAGTTAGAGTCCCTGTCTCCTAGACATCTAGGAGATACCTGTTCCAAAAATAAAATGTCCATATGCCTCCTCAAAGAGTTTCATATAAAGTA